CTGGTTAAGCTATTTTCAAACTGCATTGTGTTTAATGAACAAGTTCTGCAAGCGTTTCAGGAAGCTACCTGTAGGAGGACATTGTGACCCTGGAAGGCCAGCGAGCACAGGATTGCAGTTCATTGGACAGTGTTTGCATGAGAACAACCAACTGGCTACCTTTGTATAAACAGCATGTAAATGAGAACACCTGGTGTAATATACAAAACAAAAGGAATTCCAATCAACAGTAGATGGGTTTTGTTGATGAACTCAACGCTTCCTCCCCTACCCCATACGGACTCGCAGTGTATAAAGTCTGAGGCCCCTAATAAACTTCGGCTTTTGACCATCAGTGTGTTATTATCGGCTCCGTGACCAAGTCCATCGCTGCGGGACAGCGACAGCTACCTAAGTGCAGAAAGCCATCTAATCTTATCTGGCGGGAGTTCTAGTGTCCTACAATGAAGGCAGGACTGTCATTTTTATTTCTCCTGGGTCTTGGGTTTAACTCATGCTATCCTGAGTCTCCGGTAGATTTGTTCCCGATTCCTTTTCCTGTTGTCTTCTATGTCACCACAAGCTGGGCAGTTGTGTGCAATGGATAGGACTGAAGCTTGCCAACAGAGTTTGGCAGAAAACACAGCCCATGGGAGTAGTCGGTGAGGTACCTCAGATGGAAAGCTGGCTCCATATAGAAATTTTAAAAGTAAGTTTACTTTGGCACACAAAAAAAATTTGAAAGCCACATGGTTGTTTCATAATCTGCAGTTTTCATAAATTTTTTAAAGACCCCCTCATATGAATAGGCTTTCAGCCCACCAAATTTGAAGTGAAACAACAGTCCAAAATTTTATTTTTTTTTACTCTCAAAATCACTATTATTTATTCAACCTTAATACACGCTAAATTTTTAGCAGATTTTTTTCAATGTAGGTTTTGTTTATAACAGGTTTGAATTGGCAAAGCAGTTCTAAGACTGATACAAAGAGTTTCTGTGGCCAGTTCCAGAGGCCAGGCTTCCCTCATGCTAACATCTCATGCTGGTTTGATAACTAGCTAGCTACACTTAATCAACACAGATGCATTATAGTGCTTGATTTAGAATTCTTTAATTTTTACCTGATGTCATTTTCCTGTTACAAGGTACCACCCAGAATACATTATTTTTATTGCATTTGAGTGTCATCCTGGTGGCTCTTGGCTGACAGTTTCTCAACTTCATTTCTGGAGGCATCGGCCAAGTGTTGGAGAATGCTAGTCAGCTGCTCTGTGGAATAGTTCCACAATTAGGACGTAGCTGATGCTTCGATCATCACTGGACAGGGGTTGTGGGATTGGAGGAAGAAACCCACAAGTCATTTTCACTGCATCACATGGCGGCCCGGGTGAGGAGGAGGGACGGACGTGGAGAACACATACCGTCCACATGACTCATCACTATTAGCAATAACCCAAGTAAACGGATCTTGTTACATCTCACTTAGCAAAATGAATCTTCCTTTTCATTAAATGTACTCCAAACCATAGTTCAGTCTTCCTTATAGAAAATTTTAACAAGTGGTTTTAACCTCTTAAATTATCTCAGTGCCCAATAATAAAATATTCTCTTTCCCATGGTATCCCCTCTCACATGCTTCCCCATTCCTCTCCCAAAAGCAAACAGAAAGATGTATATTTTACAAATATCATGGTCTAAACAGACAGCCACAAAGTAGGACAGAGTGTTAAAGATACCAAAGCCACTACCAAGCAGTTACAAGAACTAATATAAAAGTGGCTAGATGATAAAGTGGCTAGTACCAGTGTTGGCATTCAATTTAACAAATTATGATTATTTGAAGATAAAGAGACTTTAACTTTAAAACTCCAGTTATTAAAAGCTTTTCTAGGAACAGCCGCTTGGCCTGCCTCATGGTTGAAGATACTGGTTAAGACACTTAGATCCTGCGTTGGAGCGCCTGCTTTGATACCTGCCTCTGGCTCCTGACTTGAGCCTCATGACAGTGCAGACACTAAGTGACAGAGTTAACAACTCAAGTGACTGAGCCCCTGCCACCCAAGAAGCTCCTGGCTTCGGACTGGCTCAGCACTGACCATTGTGGCCCCTTGGGCAGTGAATCAGCAGACGGAAGATCTTCCTCTCTATCTCTAAATCTTTAAAAAGAAACATATATGAGGTGTGGCATTGTGGTACTGCGGGTTAAGCAATGCTGACGGCTGGTATGGCAGTATCTGTCCGAGACCTGGCTGCTCCTCTTTCAATCCAGCTCCCTGCTAACATGCTTGGGAGAACAGCATGAAAGGCTGAGTACCAGGACTACACTGGCTCACGTGGGGGACCCATTTAGAGTTTACAGGCTCCTGGTTTTGGTCTGCCCTAACCCTGGCTATTGTGATTATTTGATGAGTGAATCAGCAATCGAAAAATTTGTCACTCTTCCAAACAAATAAATAAACCTTTAAAAAAATCATTTACGGGCCTGGCATAGTAGTTTTGTGGCTAAAGCCTTGCACGTGCTGGGATCCCATATGGGCACTGGGTCATGTCCCAACAGTCCCATTTCCCATCCAGCTCCCTGCTTGTGGCTGGAAAAGCAGCTGAGGACAGCCCAAAGCCTTGGAATCTTGCAACTGCGTGGGGGACACAGAAGAGGTTCCTAGCTTTGGATCGGCTGAGCTCCAGCCATTGTGGCCACTTGGGGAGTGAACCAGTGGACAGAAGCTCTCTTTCCTTCTCTATGTAAATATATCTCTCAAACAAAAACAAACAAAAAAAGATTATTTAAAAAAAGATCAAAGGGATCAACTACAAAACTAAAACCGAATCTTAAAACAGAACTTAGTATAGTAGCTACGCACACAACCAATATATAAAAGTGCAAGCCTTTTGACTTAAAAAAAAAAAAAACAGAAGACACGATGAAAAAAGTGTAACAAAATACCAGCAGAAAATTTATGAATAACTTAATCAATATCATATAGATTGATCCCTCCTGAGGAACGCAAAACGTGAATTCACGGGAAAACATAAACCATATTCTTGCCAACTCTCCTTAAGTTGCAATAGTTAGCAAGCTGTACACAATTTCGACTAAAGACATTACAGACAGAATTGGGGTTGGGGTACACAAAGTAGTTGATTCTGAATAATCTTGGGGGAAATTACACCTAGAAGTAGCTAGGACATTTCTGAAAGAAGTACCATGGAAGCAAGCAGCTCTACTACAAGCCTAAAAAAATTAACAGTAGCACTGAAAACAAAGAGCAGCAGAAGAAACATTTTCAGTTAGAACTTTTGAAGTATCACACACTCACTCACACACACACACAGAGACACACACACACACACACAAAAGAGCTCTCCAAACATGCACTTTCTGGACAGGTGAGAAAACCTGAGTGTGTGGCCAGGTGCACGCACACAGCTGGGGCCCACAGCAAACTCCCAGCTGATTCTTAAATTAGGTGAAAACCTCAAGAAATCAATAAAACAGGAGAGAGTGCAGAATAAAAGTGAGTAAAGAAATATAAATAATTAATTTACACAAAGTACAAAGGTTCTTCAAAATGTTTAGAATCTGCTCAAGCTCACTGGTAATGAAAGAACTGTCAAGTGCACTGAAATGCTGTCACTCTGCCCATTAGATGAGCTAAGAGTTTGATAGCACGCTCCGGAAAAACAGGAAAGAAAAACAGCAATTTTATTCACTGACAATAAAATTGAAAGTCATATCATGTCTCTAAGGCTACCTGGCAACATCTATCAAAATTATTAATGCATATATCCTCTTGCCCAGGAATTCGACCGCAACAGAATTTCTCCTCGCAAGCTCCTTTGCAAGCACATGTGCTGAGCACTTTTACTGCTTCATCATTTTATGTGAAGCAGAAAATTACGAGCAAACTAAGTGTGTGTCAGTAAAAATGTTTCTAACTACATCACAGTCTATTCATACAGTGTCATCAATAGAAACAATGAGGAAACCCCTGAGAGGGGTTTCAAACATATTACCTAACGAAAAGCAAGGAGGAAGCAGAATGAAATGCCAAGATTCGTGCTCAAGCAGACACACACACGTACCCACACTCATGTATTTCTTCATGTACAACTTACAGATTATGACTGTGTTAGAACACACAAAACAACAGGTAACCAAAAAAACAAGGTTATACATTTCATTGTATATATGTAGATTTTTTCCTGGAAAAATATTCAAAAAGCTAGGAAGCAGATATAAATGGTTTGGGAATAGGAATGAGGATATTAACATGCCTGCGTGCCTTAACACAGCAAACTGGCATACATTAAGACAACACAATCAGTATTTAGAATGTTCACGTATAGAAAGCAAACAACCAAAAACTGCAAAAGTAGGTGTGCATTAAAAAAAAAAGTTGTATTTGACGTTTAGCAAAGAGTTTTTATTACTTTGCTATTATTAGGGATTAAAAGTAAGCTGAGACGATGCCTAATACTCCTATCATCTGGACAGAGGTGAATGAAAAATCATAGCATCTCTTAACATTGTTATCTCAAGGGATCCTTATTTAAAATTAAAAAAAGAGAGAGAATCGTTAGTGCTTTTCCTATTCCTTCTAGAGTTAGCCTCTTTCCAATAATGATTAAGGTCAAAGACGGAAAGTCTCGCTTTTCTTTATATTGTCCATTCAAATATTAATGTCAGTAGTGTATTTTTCTATTTGAAATTGCCACGTTACCAATCCACATGGATGGGAGCTGCCAAGGGCAACTCCATGAACCCTGCTGACCCTAAACAATTCCAGGAAAATTCAGAAAAAGCACAAGAATGACAGTCCAAACACGGTGGCAAATTATAAAGCACTTTTACAAAACTGGCATTAAAACAACTACCGAGAGACACTAACAATATTGACTTGCATCCCGGTTTCAGTCACTACTGACAACCTCGAAGCAGAGGGCTGAGGGAGCCGCTCTGAGAGCTCCGAGGCAGGTGCCACCGGAAGCGGCCCCTCAACGTGGACCACTTGCCCCTCACCTTCTTCTGCAGAACGTTGACCTTCCGCTCCTTCACGTCCAGCATGTCCTTCAGGTCATGGATCTCCCCGGCCTGTGTCCCCTTCTCCTCAGCCATATCCTGAATTTGTTTGGTCTTTTTGTTCAGCATGGTCTCCTTCTCTTCCAAACGCAGCCGGAGAGCATCCACCTAAGAAGGGAAGATTTTCACAAGTGATTACAGACCAAGAAAGGACCAGGGTTCCTTTCAAACAAATGTGTTACAACGATGTTGCCTTTCAAACAGATGTGTTACAAAGATGCTGAGCAGAATCAACAGCTAGGCTTCTCAAACCTAACATGCATCGGAATTATCCACAGGCTTGCACAGATCTCTGAGCCCAACCACGGAAGTTGGTTGGTATGCAGCATACCTCAATTTTGAGCATGGAACTCAAAATTAGTCCCGTTTTAAAGTCTCCAGGTGATGTCGCATTGCTTTAAAATTAGACAGAAGGGCCGAATGTGGAGGGGTCCCCTGCTGGACAGCTACTCCCACTGGAGAGTGTGAGCTGGGATGGGGGCAGACCAGACCAGGCAGGGCTACAACACTTGTAGGCCTCATGTGAGCTGGATCAGGGAAAGCGAGGCTGGGCTGATTGTTCCTACTGGTGCAAGCATAAATTAGAGTGGGTAAGGGTTGGCTGAGTTTTGCCACAGCATCAGCTGTCAGAGGCTGGCACTGGGGGCTAATTCTGTCAAACCACAGAACCAACTGGAGAGTGCATAATCTGGGAGTGGCAATGGCATAAGAGGGCAATAGTGGGCACCTCCCTCTTGGGTTGCCACTCCCACTGGACAGCATGAAAACCTGGATTGGGGCGGGGGTGGCTAGACAGAATAGCACCTGCCAGTATGTGTATGGGCTGGATAGTAGGTTTGGTTGGGTTGAACCAGGCTCACTGCCTGGTCACTGCGGCCATCTGGGCCGTGAACCAGCAAACCCAGACGGATATCTCCACCCCCATCCCCACCCTGTCACTCTGTCACCCTGACACTCTGTCTTTCAAATATACACATGTGTATATAATATACACATAGACCAAACAGAGGTGACACTGTAACCAATACATAACATATTATGTATTGTGCTGTAAATGTACTGTAAATAAGTATACTGGAACCAGTATATAATACAGTATTCAACAGTTTGTAAATAACAGGTTACCTTTATTGGGGAAGGGAGGCAAAAATCACTAAATCATACTTAAAAATGAATTATGACTGACTTAAAGATATACATGTGAGAAGTATGTATTTAGAGCTTTTTTAGAAGGAGATATAGGAAAATATTTTTAAGATATTGAGAAAGGGAAGAATCTGTTTATTGCAAAATGTATAATCAGGCGTGGCGCACTACTCTAGTGGCTAAAATCCTTGCCTTGAACACACCAGGATCCCATATAGGAGCCGGTTCATAACCTGGTGGCCCCACTTCCCATCCAGCTCTCTGCTTGTGGCCTGGGGAAGCAGTTGAGGATGGCCCAAAGCCTTGGGAACCTGCACCTGTGTGGGACACCTGGAAGAGGCTCCTGGCTCCTGGCTTCAGATCAGCGCAGCACCGGCCGTTGTGGCCACTTGGGGAGTGAACCAACAGATAGAAGTTCCTCCTCTCTCTCTCTCTCTCTCTCCTTCTCTCTGTATATCTAACTTTCCAACAAAAATAAATAAATCTTTTATAAAAGTATGATCATTATAATCAGTAAAAATACATTAAAATTTAAGTATACATCTGTCTAAACATTTATATGACATGGAGAAGACTATAAAACACTAGTGATCAAAATCAAGCAAGATATAAATGAGCTTGAACAAGGAAAAGGAAAAGCTCATCAGGCTGTGCTTTAGAAATGTGTTTTACCAATAAAACAGCAGAACTACAAGAAGTCAAACCTAGTGAATCCATGACATTTTTAGGTATGCTAAAATTTCTTGGGGTATACTAAAAAATTTCAGCCTGGGCACCTGGCTTCAGCACTGAAGGCAAGACATAAAATGCAATGCAGATATGAATTGCTTGATGACCACTGCATTCTTTCTAGCCCTTTTTAAAAAGTGTAAGATCACAAAAGTCTTCAGATTTTCATCTGCTCCCCTTCATCTACATATGAAAAACAGGAATATTTCTCCATGTTAAAAAAAAATTCCCAGAAAGAAAGCCAGAGAAACTGAATACTGACTCAGCTGGGAGAAAAGGACTGCCACCACAGAGCACAGGGCTGCACGGATCACAGTCGCCCACAGACGTCGGGAGCACCCACTGACCCCCATCCGCTCGGCACAGCTCACGCCAGCCTGGGTCGCCACTAATTCCACCGAACAGCATCAGATTCGGTTTCCATTAGCTGGACCCACTACGGACCATCAGTCACGGTGAGTGAAGAGGCTGCGTACTGAACCCCCGACCCTGCAGTGCAGTTAAAGAGGTCACAGTCTCAGAAAACTATTGGACATCTTAAAAATAAACAAATCACGTAATCATTTGTATCTGATTTTTAACAGTACATTCTAACTATATTCTGTATACTATATATTCTTCCTTTAATGCCTATCCAATATCTAGAAGGGAAAAAAAAAAAGGCAGCTCACCAAAAAGAACAACATTTACTCTATATCCCCTACATAGAGTACTAAAGTCTTAAGATGAAGGTTAAAAATTCCAGACATTTAGACCTCTCTGGGGAGCCAGCAATGTGGCAGGGTCTGGTAAACTGTAACCTGCAGCACGACCAGTGCGTTTGGAAGAGTACCACTTCTAGTCCCAGCAGCGCCACTTCTAATCCAGCTCCCTACTAACGCGCCTGAGAAAGCAGCAGATGGCTCCAGCCCCATCCATACGGGAGACCAGATGGACTTCTAGGTTCCTGATGTTAGCCTGGTCTAGCCCTTGACTGGCAGTCACTTACAAAGCGAACCAGAAGATGCAAGACCTGTCTGTCTCCCTCCGGGTGTGTGTAATTCTCAGCCTTTCAAAGAAACAAATAAATCTTTAAAAAATTCATAAGCCTGTGGAGAATGGGTGGACACTTGGTCATTTGGCAGTAAAGACATTGGTGGGAGGTGTCTTAACTGCCTAATTTGCTTCTCTTCCAGTTCTTCTAGGTATTAATCTTAGAAAAACAAAAGGTCTCCCTAAACATTTCTCAGATGGCACTGCTACTGCACAGGGCAAAATCTGTGAGATGCCATTCGCTATTTCTTTACCCAACATGCTCAGACACCCAAGCTGCACTTTCACGTTAGAACCCTGACTCAGTTTAGTGACCTGGAGATGTGCCAGTGCTAACCGGTCATAAATGCCTGCATGCCATTTTGAGGGAATGTCAAGTATGAGACCCACAGGAATTGGCAACTGGAAAAGGTAAAGAATGAGGACCCTTGTTGTAAACACACAAACCCCTTGGGTGTAAATGCGGCTGGAAACACGGGCTTTGATATTAAAAGACTTACATCTTGAATACTGGGCTCAGCGATTGAACAAACCCATAGCCTTCGTTACTAAACAATCTTTTCCTTATGAAGTATTCAGTTCAACTCACCTGAGTATCTTTTTGCTGGGCCTGCTTTTTCCATACAGTGAGGCATTTAAATGTACATGTCTGGAGACTTGAGATGAAAACCACCACAAAACCACTTTGCTACTACTAGATTAATTGCTCTGAATTCTACACTGATCTTTTGGTTTAGAATCAACTAAATTTGTAGTATAATTTTGTGTGAGGTCCATACTTTGCAAACCACAAAAAACATATTCAGGAAAACCCCTCAAAGACTAGCAGGACACTCAGTCATCACCCTAACACCACTCCTGGCAGGAGGAATAAAAGCTTGTTTATTCACATCAACAGGGTGAGAGTAACAGCATCCACCCAGCTTGCCAAGCAGCCACAGCTGTGGCAAACACGTTATGCCAACTTCAATAAAAACACAAGGTTTTTCTTTACAAGTTTTTTCCACCGACAGGAGTGAAGCGAAAATTGGCTCCATCGCTGTTTTAGCCTCTCACTTCTAATCACAAAATCATTAACTATCATGGCCTGTCTTAACATTTGCTTTGTTTTCTATCAGTAAACGTATAACTGAATGCATGTTAAGAGCAGTGACTACTTCACTTCAGAAATGTCCTCTTTCCCATCTTTCTTCTCTGTACTCTACCAACATGGCCCTCCCCCTTTCGCCCTCCCTCAAAACATCCTTCCAGTTTTTTCCATGTCAGTTACCCTTCTTCACAATCTACTGAACACAACTGCCTCAAGTGAACCAAACTCCATCCTAAAGCTTTAACCGTCACCCTTATGATTTGAAACTTAAGACATTCCATTTTGATTCGCTTAGTGTATTAAAAGCCATACTTGCACTTACGTGTTCCTGTCCATGTTTATTTGCTAAGGGTATCATTATCCAGAGTTCCTCCCAAACGAGATATGATCCCGTCACCACGGGGAGATGTCCCAGCTCACCATGCTGGACGAGGTGGCAGGAGAAAGTAAGCTGCCCAGGTAAGGGTGCCTCTCGCATAATGATCCGTACCTCCCTCTGACAAAGCACTGTTTCCATAGCTCTGGTTTCCCTCAGATAACAGGATGCTGAGAGAGAATGGAGTGCTCAGGCACTGCTGTGATTGGCTCTTAGTTGATTTTATTCTCTTCTTTGATGCTATCCTAGACTTTAAAAAAATATATGTGTGTGTGTATATATATATATATGTAATACTTCTTTACTTTTATTGGAAAGTCAGATTTACAGAGAGAAGGAGAGACAGAGACAAAGATCTGCCATCTACTGGTTCACTCCCCAAATGGCTGCAATGGCCAGAGCTCAGCCAGCTCCCAGCCTGTGGCCTGGGAAAGCAGTGGGGAATGGCAAAGCCTTGGGACCCTACACCCATGCAGGAGACCCAGAAGAAGTTCCTGGCTTTGGATTGGCCTGAGCACACCAACAGCCGGGACAATTCATCTTTTGGGCTTAAACATGGATCTTGCCAAGTGTTACAGGAGTATTTTTTTAAGTTAGTGCTAATAAATGGACTTATCGTATTCTCACAATCACCCCAATTTAAAAGGAGATAGCTCTCTTACTCTCATCCTTTAGGATGAGATGGCTATATTTGAGTAGTTGTCCTAGGAACTTACACTGAGACTCAACTACTCCCATAATGGCTAAAAACAAATGTAATAATAATTCAAGAATCACAAATTATAGTTTTTATTCTGTCGGGTACACAAAACTGTGAAGACTTAGCTAATAAGATCATTCTCTGAGACAGAACCAGTGCAGTAGTACAATCAGCTAATCCTCTACCCTGTGGTGCGGGCATCCCATGAGTGCCAATTCATGTCCTGGCTGCTCCACTTCCAATCCTGCTCCCTGCTTACAGTCTGGGAAAGCAGCTGAGGATGGGTCCCTGTGTCACATGGGAGACCCAGAAGAAGCTCCTAGTGCCCAGCTTCAAAACAGCTCAGCTCTAGCCAATGTAGCCACTTGGGGGGTGAACCAACATATGGAAAACCTTCTCTGTCTTTCCCTCTCTGCATCTCGCTGCAAAATATGGTTTCAAGTAAGAATAAATCAAAGAAGGAAAGACAGAAGGAAAAAGAAAGAAAGAGAGAGGGGGAAGGAGGGAAAGAGAGAGGGAGGCAGGGAGAGATGGAGGCAGGGACGGAAGGAGGCAGGGAGGGAAGGAACGAAGGAATATTTGTTGAGAGGGCTAAAAGAACGAATTGCCAGAGGAAAAAGTCATTTGCTGCACAGTGACAAGCTTTCAGCACTGGCATTATCATTAACCAACTGTCAGACTCTTGTTTGCATACTTGCTGCCTCTAATCAAATCTATCACAGAGGTAAAAGTCCAGCAGGGCCCACGTCCGGGACACTGGCACCCTCTTCCGACACTTCAGAGTACTGCACACATGGAAAGTAACTGGCTGCTAAGTCTTCCCAGATGGTTTTCTACTTGTTACTCCCTGAATATATCTAAATCTAAATTGAGAATATTAAGAAGCAGTTTTTTAAAATCAAATATATACCAACGAAACAGAAGAACAGCTATATTCTGGTAACTTAGTTCATAGAAGACAGCACCTCAAAAATCTCAGGGAAACAAAATTAAAACGTACATTTATTTTGGTGCAAAAATATTTTAAAATATGTCCACCTCTCATTATATGTATTTTCCACGAACTTTTTGTAACTCTCATATATATCAGCTGGTTTTTATTACAAAATTTACAGTGATCCCTACACAAAGGCCAGGTACCAGGCATGAATAAATAGCTTAATTCCAACAACAAACTTACGAATTAAGCAGATACAAAAAATAAATTTCGATTGAGTTACACACACACACACACACACACACACACAGGGACATACACTTCTTAGTAAATAATATGTCAACAACAATATCCAACACCAGTAAACATAACTACAGGCCCCAAATATCTATGCAATGTATAATGAATGGGAGCTGATAAATAAAATGTAACAAAAATAGAAAAAAGTGTAAGTTACCCCAAAAATGAAAAATGTTATACAAATCTCTCATTTTCCACAAAGCTCTTAAAGTGTACAAATAAAAATATCACATGAGATACTTCTGGCCTTTTCTCCCACATCTTTCCCATTTCTGCTTTCTAGAAGACTTTGGTCTTCTGGGACAATAAAGCTTGTATTCTTGTCTCCCCTGCCCATTCCTTTTTGGCATCAAACCGGGTCCTTATGTACCCATTGGCCAGTCTTTTCAAAGGGGGAAAGACAACAACCTTAGGCACATTACATGGCTTATTATTCTTCTATAAACCAGAGCTACCTGCTTCTGTCCTATATCAATTACTTATTTCACTGAGATCTTTTGAAATACGCATATTGAATCACTTAATCCAAAGAGCATCGTTAACCCTTTCTCTCTGGTCATGAACATAGGGGACTCTGCGTGGGATTTTTGTTTTCAATGTATGCCTACCTGAAGTCATGGCCAACAGACTAAGCAGTCTTTCACAATTTTTCAAAACACTCTTTTCAAACAGGAATATGAAGACATCATCTAGTTAATCACCTGGAGTTTAAAATGAGCTCTATGCAGAAGATTTATAGATTCCCCCCGTCTGACTGTGAACATTCATAATTTCAAAAAAATTTAAAAACACTTATCAAAACAGAGTACCAAGGCTCATTGTGCTTTACGAAAATTCTATGGGTATGAATTGATGCTCTGAAAATTCAATTATTTCTTTTTTACAATTATCTTTTCATTTTGATATTGTGAGAGTATACTTCGAACTAGTTTGAAGTAAGAGTTAGGTGAAAATCCACTTTCAAGTTATGAAATGAATGAGTGGTTTATATTTAGTAGAAGAGCCGATCAACTTTGCTAAGACATGTTTCATAACATTTCCTAAATCTAAATGTAAAAACAACAACAACAACAACAAAAAGAAACCAGCATAGATAACACTTCTGAAAAAGCCCCTGGGACGAACACTCCGCTCACCTCGGTCTGCAGGATGGCTGCCCTTTGCTCCTTGGCAGTCAGGGACTCCTTGAGCACCTCAATGTGCTGCTTGCTGTCCGAGAACTGGTTCGTCAGCGTCTCCAGCTTTGTCTGCAGGGCCAGGAGCTCTGTGTCCTTCCTGGACAGTTCCTGCTTCACCTGGCCAATCTTTAGGGGGTGAAAACAACAAGAAGAAAAATCTGTAAGGAATAGGAAATGAAGCCACCACCTCTCCTCCGTGCATCACAAGAGGCGAAATGAAACGGAGCATTTAATTTGGCATCATTTATTGTTGCTTCCTTCCCCGTCCCCAACCCCCAAACTAAAAGTATTCAACAAATAAAAGAGATTTTCAGTTTTATTTATTATGTCTTGTAAATATTCTTTGAGTCCCCTTAGAAAAGAAACAGAGGGAAAAGAAATTTCAATTTGATTTAGAAGACTATATGAGAAGGCAGTAAGCAACTGAACGACCCTGTACTGACAGAAGTCTTCCCTTACTTAGCTCAGACCTCTCCAAAAACACATGGACGAAATGCAGTATTAGTGTATATATAACACAGAAGAGAAAGAAGAAATTTGCTCATGTTATTACTAGATGTAAATTCAAAAGCTATTGCTGCTAGATTTCCTCATTCATTTTAGCATTTTCATTCTCAAACAAAACTTTACCAAAAATCCCCTTTCCCTAAAAAAAAATTAAAAAATAAACTACTATAAGTGTTACAAAACAACAACTCATCTTTTAAAAATCCTACACTTGTGGCAAGCTATGTGTACCAAACTAAAGAGAGGGGAAGAGAGAGAGAGATATCCCCCTACAAAAAGTTCAACATATGTCCTTCCATCCCAGTGGATCAAAATGTGACCTAAACAAAGCATGCATAAAAATCTGTTTAAAGAAAAACTTGTTTCACCTCAAATCTGTTACTCTGAAACAGTAATACCTAAGTTGTAAGTGCCATTTATCCTGCAATAAAGTTCTCAACACAGATAACGCTTTCCTTCAAACCTCCTTTATATTCCTATTGTTTCCAAGAATTTTTTAAATGGTTTTTTATTTTAAATGTAAATAAACAAAAAACAGAGAGTAGATCTGTTTCTACCTTGTAATTCCCATCTAGCAAGGCACTAAAGGACAGATTAATTACTACAAGTATAAATTTGACAAGAAATACTTTGTAAAAATTTAGTATCTCAAAGTTTGTTAATTGTAATCATCTTTAGTAAAAGGAGAAAAGCCTTTGAGAACAATTGCTCATGAAGCAATAATTAAACTTCATAAAGAATTCTGGGGATCCGGTGCCATGGCTCAGTGACTAAATCATTGCTTTGCACATACCAGGATCCCATATGGGTACTGATTTGTGTCCTGGCTGTTCCACTTCCCTTCCAGCTTGTGGCATGGAAAGGCAGTAGAGGGTGGTCCAACAACTTGGGGCCCTGCATCCACATGGGAAGAAGCTGCTGGCTCCTGGCTTCAGATCAGCTCAGCAGCAGCCACTGCAGCCACTTGGGGAGTGAACCTGTAGATGGAAAATCCTTCTCTCTGCATCTCCTTCTCACTGTTCACTCAACAAACACTTCTCTATTCTTAGGACACAAAGTACCTGAAGGTTTTAAGAATCAGTGGATACTTGCAAAAAGCACTATTTCAAAACATGCTATCAGGCCTGGTGCCAGCACTGAGACACGATGAGTTAAGCTGACACCTGCAAGGCCAGCATTCCATATGGGCACTGGATTGGGTCCTGGCTGCTCCACTTTTGATCAGCTCTGTTCACCTGTCTGAGAAAGCAATGGAAGATGGCCCAAGTGTTTCGGCTCTTGCACTCAAGTAGTAGACCAAGATGAAGTTCCTGGCTCCATTCTGGCCACTGTGGCCATTTGGGTAGCGAACCAGTGGGTGGAATATCTCTCTGCGTCTCCCCGGCTCGCTCACTCGCTCTCTCTCCCTCTCCCTCTCTCACCCTCCTATTTAGATAAAAAGATCTTTAAATTAAACACCCATACACACTTGCCAAACTAACATGTGACCAGGAATGTGATGTTTTTCATGCTACTTCTTTGTCACAAAAGATGTACTACTAATATCCCAAACACAGACTATACTGAAAATCTCTTGGGTTGTACAGATGAATATTCAGGAAACAAGCTTAAAATGTTACTACTTATTCAGTCAAAGAATTATAGCTTAGAGATCATTTCCATTTCTAGCTACCTCCAAACACAGGACTGAACATAAACACAAAATCTGCTTCCTCATCATCTGCATTATTAAATAAGGTTCCAGTAATATGACATTGAACTTAGAACAGTCTGAACGAAGAGTTTGGAAACACAAATTTTCCTTCATGAATTAATGAGAAGAGACTAGGGTGAGTGAGAAGCAGATATGAAACAAAAGCCTGCACTCAACCAAACGTTGGGCTGAGCTAACGACACGCTTTGGAGCAATCACGTCTGATATTCTTGGTCTCCTTGGTAATACAGCAAAATGTAGTGCTTGGGGATTCAACAAAATATGGTTTTGACATAATAGATAAAAGAGCAGCCAAGATAAAAGGAAATTTTAAATCAACTTCTCAAGATAATACATGGATACCATAAACCAAATTAGAGCCTTTTAGAAAAAAAAAATTTTTTCATTTTCTCACTTGTACTACGAAGGGATCCATAAAGAGCAAACACCGGATTAGCACAAGTTTGTTTTGAATGCTGCATTCCAGCCTTGCTAGCCTATAAGTATTTTCAGTTTTTCCTGGCACTTTGTTCCACAGCCTAGAACAGAGCCGTATGGCAAAAGGATTCTAAATGCAGTTTCTGGAAGCAGACTGTTTATATAAAATTAAGCCCTGCCTCTCACTGGCTGGGTTTCCCTGGGCAGCATCCTGACTCTTTAGTTTGCTCATCTGTAACATGGAGTCGTTAGCCTGGGCAGCTTACGAAATGCTTCCAAGTAAGTATGCGAGTGTTAAATCTTTTTTGTTACTTATTATTTTTGCTGTGCTCTGAAACTAAAATTTTAAAAATGGTAGACAGAAAAATAAACTATATTCAGAATTATATTTACGTTAAATGGGTTTCATACTAACTTATTAGGTAATTCTAAATACTTCTGTCCTAAAAAAAAATAAAATTTGTTATGAAACACTTAATGGGGAATCAAAACTATTGTCTACCTTGGAAGGTAAAGCACCGTACTCAAAAATTCCAAACTGAAAGAAACTCGAGCTAACAGAACTAAAAATGGAAAAAAAAAAAAAAACTACAACAGCTCCTATTCATGTTCCTAGGAAGAAAACATTTCAGACCACCATTCAAATAAGTCAGCAAGACTCTATTAATAAGAGAGAGAGAAAAAAGAACAAAACCAAAACCAAAAACAAGCTGTGAAATACCATCCAGAGAGCAGCAAAGCAACCATAAGGAACCAGGCACAAGGCTTCTAGAACAAATGAGGGCTCACTGCACACAAAGTGACATATGGGTCAAACTGGTGAACAGGAGTCAGTTGGAGAGCAGAGCAGGCTGGTTAGTGCTAGTCATGGGCAGAGCTGCCAACCACAGAGAATGGAAGTGTGAGCACCCAGAAGCCAGAGCTGGCAGGGTCCCCCTGTGGGGTCACTGCACACAAACAGGTAAATCTTACGGCAAAGACCTCAGCCTGAAGACCAGCCGCTCTCTTTTTCAGCTCCTCCCCTTGAGCCACTTTCGAATTTAGCTCCTCCTTCAGTTGCTCTACCTGTCACGACATCATTATTGGTTTTTTTCACTTATGTGTCAATTTAGGGCTTATTATCTGCTTTTGAGCCAGAGTGGCAACTGGACATAATAATCAAATCAGTTCTTTATTTTCACAGGGTTTTTAAAAATGGACTGAAATGTGCACATCAACAAACGGTAAAAAAAGAACACAACATTCATCCTGCAACATAGTTATTTTTTTCTCCCAATGGGGGGTGAAAAGCCCTCACTAGAAAATTTCACTATGCAAACTTTTATGTTCTAAAATTAATATGAAATTAGCAGAAAATACTGATAAGGAATTCTTCAAAGAGTAAAGGAATATTATTTCAACTTATATGCCAGGTACAAGCTCCACAGCAAAAATTATGACATTCTTCTGCACTATGACATTCAATTTTCACTTCTGATCAAGTGAAAAGGAATACTACTGGGATACAGGAAAAAACACTTCTTTTCCAGTTAATATTGTATATTAAAATGATCAGTTTTAATTAGACCACCACAAATGGCTTAATGAATTGGTAACTATAATCAGTTAAATGTAATGATAATCAAGTAAATCCTCCAAAAATTTGCCTACATAGAGCTAAAGCCAATGGTTTTGAACCTAATGATGGAGTATTGTGACAGATTTCTGAACACACACTGATGGATCTCAGCGGCACCTGTCTTGCTATAAACACGCCTGGGGTTCACACAGGAAGTAACAATCCCGAGAGTCACACATTTCCTGGAAGAGACTCAGCAATGGGGGAGCACTGTGCCAGTGCACTGGGTCATCGCCTGTTTCATCATTATCCCCGTGGGTGCCAGCCCTGGCACATCCCTACCAATCCAGCTCCCTGGTAATGTCCCCTGCAAAAGCAGCAGAAGATGGCCCAAGTGCCCACACCTGCACGGGACACCCAGAAGTTCCTGGCTCTTGATTTCTGATCCGCCCAGCTCTGGCCTTGTGGTCATTTGGGAAGTAAAGCAGAGGATGCAAGGTCTGTCTTGTCTCTCTCTTTCTGTAACTCTACTTTCAAATAAATAAATAAATCTTTTTTTAAAAAAAAGTCATTCCTTTACTGAACTGTTTTTAAAGAAGTGTGATTTTATTCAGCCCGTTTCTGAAACTCAGGGGATGCTGAGGGCAGGACTCTGACCTGTAAAATGCCTCACAAGAAGAAGAGAACTTGATGCCTGCTAAAGTGAGAAAGCCTCATGCAAACATAATTCTACTAAACCTTCTTGGAAGTACGAACATCAGACATGGAAAGTTAAACTGTGCTAATACATACTTAGCCTCAATTTTCTTCTGAGTAAAAACACATAATAACTTCATGATGTCAGTAATCCTGACTTTAATTCTGAGAAAGTTTCATTTCAAAGAGTGGGGTTAAATTAGCGTTTTACCTTGAAGTCAATGAAACAGTGTGAAGATTTCAACATCATCAACATCACCACGGACATGAGAATGTGGCACTCTGAGAGCCCCTGTACAGCGCGAGGGGCTCCACACACCATTACCTTGTTTTTCATAAACTTAGAGTGGCTCCGGTACACCTCCATTTGCTTCATTTCTTCCTCCCGTTCCTCAGTACTCAGAGCCCCATTCGACTTCAACATCTGAATTTCTTCCTCCAGGTCCCGGAGTCCACGCTCCATGGAGGAAATTTTGGAATCCTAAAGACAATGGAAGAATTAGATAATCAGTATTCAACTGAAAAAATTCAAAGAGGCTCAATAACTAAAGTCTTTTAAAATATTACACTGAATATACATAAATACGTACACTGAAGACTTGCTGCCTGGTGTCTTTCCTTTCTTTTATTTTTTTGTAAGCTTTATTTTATTTTTAGTAGAAACTTAGATTTACAGAGAGAAAGAGATACGAAGTGAAAGATCTTCTATCCGCTGGTTCACTTCCTAAGTGGCCACAATGGCCGGAGCTGAGCCGATCTGAAGCCAAGAGTCTCTTCTGGGTCTCCCACATGGATGCAGGGTCCCGAGGCTTTGGGCCATCCTCTGCTGCTTCCCTAGGCCACAAGCAGGGAGTTGGAAGGGAAGTGGAGCAGCCGGGATATGAACTGGCACCCATATGGGATCCTGGCACATGCAAGGCAAGGAGTTTACCCACTAGGCTACGGAGCCAGGCCTGGTACCTCGCTTCTTCAGTACAACCTTTACAGTCACCTGGGCTGGGGTAGGAGGGCTGTTACAATATGATTTTTCTCAATCTTCTTCCTCCAGTTGTGAACTTTTCAACTATAGTTCAAATAATGAACAAGAGAAGCAGAAGCAACAGAAAATGGGTTACAGCGAGCACTATGGTACAGCAGCCTAAGTCGCCACTTTGGACACAGGGTCCCACATCCAGGTGCCGGGGATCAAATCCTGCTTCCACATTTTTAAAAAAGATTTATTTCATTTTTATTGGAAAGTTAGACATACAGAGAGGAGGAGAGATAAAGAGGAAGATCTTTCGATTCACTCCCCAAGTAGCTATACCTGAGCTGATCCAAGAGCCAGGAGCTTCTTCCAGGTCTCCCACCTGGATGTAGGGTCCCAAGGCTTTGGGCTGTCCTCAACTGCTTTCCCAGGCCACATGCAGGGAGCTGGAGGGAAGCAGGGCCACTGGGAAACGAACTGGTGAACTTTAGCTGCCAGGCTACCACGCCAGGCCCCTGCTTCTACCTTCTGATGCAGTTTTTGCAAATGCACGCAGGTGGCAGCAGATGGCAGCTGAACCCTGAGAACCTTGTGGAAGATCTAATGGTGTTCCTAGCACCTGCCTTCAGCCTTTCCCAGTCCTGGCAACTGTGGGCATGTGGGGACTGAACTAGCACTTGGAAGATCATATTCTCTCTGTGTTGCCTTGCCTTTCAAATAAACAAGATAGGAAGCAAGAGAGGGAAAGAGGGAAGGAGGGAGAAAGGAGGAGGGAGGGAGAGATGGAGAGAGGAAGGGACTTGAAAATATTACTCTCTATAAAATATCATCAAGAGCAAGATAGCACCTAAGCAACCTCCGCCATCCAGCACCCCTCCTACGATCTCACAGACACCAACTTGACAAAGTGTTCACACACTGATTTACAGAAGCTGGAAAAGCCAGGTATGAGATTAAGATACCTATTTTTTGTTTATCTTTTGTTTTATTGGAAAAGCAGATTTACATTGCCTGTGGAGAGGCAGAGGGAAGAAACCTTCTGTCTTCTGCTCCACTCCCCAAACAACCGCAATGACTGGAGCTGCGCGAACAGAAGTCAGGAATCAAGAACCCCTCCGACAGACTGAACACGCCTGCGGTACATTATGGCATGCATGGGAACCAGGGTAGGGGGCAGGCCTGGTGGGGTTATGGGGAGTCGCCCCAACTACACTGCAGCTCCCACTGGTTTCTATGAGGGTCGAGTATGAAGTGGGCATGATAAGGCTGGATCGCAACACCCAGCAGTTCATGTTGAAGACAGGGCTGGAACCAGAACTGACCCAGCAATTGCAACCACCAGCATGTGCATGAGCTGATTGGGGTGACAGACTGCGCCGGACCCTGTACTGCCAAGCACACACAAGAATCAGGTCTGGGACCACATCAGACCAAGTTTCTCTGGGTATCCCGCCAACTGAACTGCTGATCGCAGAACCCCAACCATGAAGAGACTCTGTCAGCCAGAGGATTCTGAAGAGATTTCATCATGCTTGGAGTGGGGAGATTGGCAGTACTTCAGACCTGTTGAACTATCAAAACTGCTTGAGCAGGAGCCTTGGAGCATGCCCCACGTCAGAGTTGAACAATCAAAATGGAATAAACACAGCTCATCGCTAACCGCAGTACTTCCACTTGGCTAACCTCTGCTTTGCTTGCTTGGCTACGAAACTGTGTGAGACTGTGTGAGCATGCAGACCAAACCGCCTACATGACCTTCACACAGATGGTTCCCAGTTCCCAGGAATCAAGGTCTGTGTCTGGTTATCTCACAGGTGGCTCCAGGGCCTGAGGCTGGTTATCTACCTACCGAACCAGAGAAGAGGTAGGCACAGGCCATCCAGTCACAACAAGCTAATGCAAACTGCCTCTCTAAAATACCTGCAAATGTGCTGCTCGTGGCCACACTCTGGTCAGAGGTGTCGCAGTTGCCTTGCCTCTTGTAATAAAACTTAATTGTGACCATCACTGGTGTATCTAACACTCTGTTTCAGTGGTCAAGTGGATGCAACATTTGGTGCCTTGGGTTGGCTGGGCAAGTTAAAGGCCTGTAAAAGGGCCCTTTCTCTGGATTGCTCTACTCACCACCTTGGCTGTTTTAGTGGTCAAGTAGAGGCAACACTACACCCTTTTATAAAGTCTGCATGAACAAAACTACTTTCATTTGACTTTTCCACCTCTGACATTTGCGCTAAAGGTATACAAGCCATGGTGGCAAAACCGAACTGCCTTAGCGCATATCAAGGCAGTGACACTAGACCACACAGGCGGTCGTTATATCCCTCACTGTCAAGAATTCACAGAGGAAAAATGAAAAACAAGAAACAAAATTTCTTAAAGACTGCTTTGCTTAAGAACATCCTTTATGGGGCAGGTGTTTGGCCTACCAGTTAAGATGCTAATTAAGGGGCTGGCATTGTCATACAGAGGATCAGGCTGCCTGTGGTACTGGAATCTCACATGAACACCAACTGGAGTCCTGGCTGCTCCACTTCCAATCCGGGTCCCTGCTAATGTGCCTGTTAAAACAGCAGAAGGCGCCCAAGTGCTCAGTGTGCGCACAGAGGAGACTCCAACGGAGCTCTCCTGGCCTGGCTTAGTCTGGTCATCACAGCCGTTCGGGATGTGAACTAGTAAACTAAAGATCTCTCTTGATCGCTCTTCCTTTCTGACTCAACCTTTGAAATAAATAAATAAATAGAGAGATGCAAAAAAAATATATATTTTTAAAATGAAAAGCAAAAGATACTGGTTAAGATGCCTATTATCTCATACAGGAGAATCCAGGTTCAAGTACCAGCTCTGCTCCCATTCCAGCTGCCCGCCAATATACACTCTGCAAGGCAGCAGGAGAAGGCCTCGTGGATCCCTGTTAGCCACATGGGAAGCCTGGATGGAGCACCTGACTCCTGCTTCCAGCCTACTCTAGTCCAGCCACTGTAGGCGCTGTGGGCAGACAGTAGGTGGGACTTAGCTCTGCGTGTTTGTGCATCTATCTCTCAAAAACTAAAAATATACTTTCAAAGAATGCCCTGGATGAGGCCATAAAACGTGCTGCTTTTAATAAATCTCAAAAATTACCCACCCCCAAAATATATGTTTTTAAGACTCGTATGATGAAAAAGGAAAGAAACTAGGTACGGAATATTTGTGTCTGTATACGGAGATCAAAGTAAGACTGGGAAGAGAATCTGCTTGTTGTTATTTGTGTTCAAGCTAAATCAGGTACTTCTTTTCATGGAACACTATTTTTCCTTGAAAGTACAACTGAAAAACTATACTTACTCAGACTTGTATTTGGCAGACGCTTTCTTCAAACATCATTTTAGGAGAGTACAGGATTCTTGAGTCAAGAAATACGAGAATAGGGACAGTGTTGCGGCATGGCAGGTAAAGCCATCACCTACGTCACTGGCCATATGTTCCAGCTGCTCCACTGCTGATCTGGCCCCTTACTAATGACACGGGAAGAGCAGCAGAACAATCCAAGTCCTTGGGCCTCTGCCACCCCTGGGGGACCCTGGATGGAGCTACTGGCTTTAGCTTGGCTCAGCCCTGGCCACTGTGGCCATCTAAGGAGTGAATCAATGGATAAATGTTTTTATTTTCTAACTTTAGCAAATAAATAAATAAGTCTTCAAAAAGAAAGAATGAAAGGGAGGAGAGAAGGAATTTGAGACTCACATACAACTCCTTTTTTGTCTAATTATGATCTACAACTGAAAAGAAATGGAAACTAAAAAGTCTTTCAAAATATCGTTCTCATGATGTCTTACCATGATTTCCTCTCAATCTCTAAATGAGTGATAGGGAAGTGGATCTAGGGCCACCTGGGACACACCCACCCACACTGGAATTCCTGGGTTAGAATCCAGGCTCCAGCTGTTGAATCCAGCTTTGGGCTGGTGTACACCTGCAGAGGTAACAGGTGCTGGCTCGAGTACTTGGGTGCTTGTTACTAAGTAGCAACCACAGACTGAGTTCCTGGTTCCTGTCTTCAGCATGGCTCAGTCCACGCTACTGCAACAACTTGGGGGAGAGAATCAGCACATGGAAGAGCTCCGTCTATTTCTCTCTGTCTCTGTCTCTCTCTCCACTTTGCAAATAATACAAAGTAATTCACTCACAAAGTAAATATTGGCAACACAATTACACACCATTATCTAACAGTCACATATGAAAATGTATGATCACATGAAAGTACAAAGTGACTCGTAAGAACCTTCGTTACTCGGCTTCCTCACTTACCTTCATCTCAATAACGGTTTGAAGAGCTTTGGTTTTCGCAGAGTCAGGGGCACTGTCAAATCTTCGATGCATCTCCTACAAAGACAAACAAAAACAAAGTGTCTTCCTTCTCAGTCTCATGTTTAGAAGAGGGAGTGAGGGAAGGTAGCTGTCCACAACTGATGGTAGCTCCTCCCTTTCGGGTATTGGCCCCCTTTCCTCCGGATCAAGCACTGCATTCAGGTTTATTCAACCACGCATGCAACGGAGCGTCCCTGAACACCTCACATTCAGAACCACTCACATACTCACCATTACAAAGCTGCAAACTATAGCACACCGCTGGTTGGTGTGTCGGTCTTCCACATGACTCCGAGGCATACAAACAATCGGAGCTCCACGTGGTTTAAAAAGGAAATTACAAGTGTTCACTCTTTAGAAGAGGAAGCAAAAGCCACCACAACTGGTGTGCATCACACAAAGCTATGGAAGCATCTGTGATGGCAGCATTCTTTCCACAACATCCATTCCCAGAATAATGACAACCAGTTATTATTAACAAAGAAAAATTTCTCTCCAGTGGGGATACAGGCACAAAAAAAAAAAAAGACATTAAATAAAATTCTCAAGTGGCTCAGATTTAGAAAATACCAGGAAAATACAGCTTGCTCTTTAACTCAAATTTAAGATGCAGAAGGAAGGAGGTGATGACCGAGGCTTCAAGGATCACCAGAAGTTACAACACCATGTGGAACTCTTCTCTTGTCAATTCTGCGCATGTCCCCTGCTCAGTACTTCCACAGGCCCTGGACAGCCTCCCAACACCCTGGGGAACAGACTTTCCAACTGCAGCAGTGTTTGAGCATCATAAAAAGGACGGATAACATAACATGTTAGTCAGACCTTTCGTTTAACTGACCCATTTTTACCTGCCAAGGAAAGGAAGAATGGTTTGAGAGTTCAATGTAACTGCAAACATCGCTGAGTTATCTCTTCCTGGAACAGCGGCCCTAACTGAACAGACAGAACAACTGATGTGCAAAGTCAACAGTTTGAAACCAGTCATTTCTGATCAGCCACAATCCCTGTTTGACTGCTTAAGCTTTCATGGCATAAAGCACTACAAATTGAATATTCTTCATCTAAAAATCCAAAATCTTCCATACACCAAAATCAGGGTGAGAGGGATTTTTACTTATTTATTTGGGGTGGGGGTCAGGGATAAAGAGACAGGGGGAATCTTTCATCTGCTCATTCACTTTCCAAAAGCTTGCAACAGCCAGAGCAGGGCCAGACCGGGTCTCCCGTTGCAGGTAGCAGGAGTTGAAGTCTTTGAGCCATCATCCCTTGCCTCTTTGGGGGTACATCAGCAGGAAGCTGAAATCAGTAGCAGAGCCCGGACTTGACAGAGCATGTGGGAGCCCCAAGCAATACCTTAACTACTGCACCAAATGTCCACCCCCAAAATCAGAAAACTTTTTCTTCAATATCACATAACCTTTTCAAAAGCCAGGATCTTCACTTCTTTCATTCACTGATGGCTCAGAGGTGGCTAGAATGTTAGCACTCACTTAGTGGATCGTTAAGGCACAAATGTTGGATGAGTGAATAACGAATGGCAGAATGCAAGAAATATTTTTTTAATCCTCCCAACAAAGAAAATCCCAGGACAGGATGATTTCACTGCTGAATTCTATCAAATGTTCTAAGAAGAACTTATTCCAATCCTCTATAAGCTACTTAAAACAATAGAAAGGGAGGCAATCCTTCCAAACTCTTTCTATGAAGCCAATATCACCTTAATACCAAAACGTTCACAGTACTCAGAGACACAAAAAAGGAAAAAACTATAGACTGACATCCCCGATGAACACAGACGCAAAATCCTCCACAAATACTAGCTAACAGAATCCAACAATACCTCAGACCCATCATTCCCCCAGACCAAGTGGGAGTTACCCCTGGCAAGCTGGGATGGTTTAACGTATGCAGATCAATAACTATGATACACCACTTGAACAATTTGAAAAATAGAAACCATATGATCATCTCAATAGATGCAGACAAGACATTTGATAACATCCAATACCACTTCACACTAGAAAGGCTAAAAACCCTGAGCAAGATAGCCAACGAATGTTCTACAACACAATCAAAGCAATATACAAATAACAACAACAACAACAAAAATGCCTAAGGTCACCTTTAAAAGAGTGGAGAAGAATCTCAGCTATCCTGGCATAAACTTAACCAAAGACCTCTAAGATGAAAACTACAAAACAGTTTTTTTTTAAAAAAAGGAAGGAAGGGAGGAAGGAAAAAGGAAAGGAAATGAACAGAATTAGAAGGCATTAAAAAAATGGAGAAATGTATTATGTTCCTGGATCGGCTGTATCAACATCATCCTACCAAAAGTAATACAACGGCTGAATATGATCCCGATCAAAAGCCCAAGAACATTCTTCTCAGGATCAGAAAAAGATGCTGGACTTTCCACCATTGTCTATCTCTGCAGTGTCATGATACACTTAAAAAAGCAGAAATGTTGGACTTGTGACTATCGCTGAATTGTACTAATGTAGGGGAAACTGTGTGTGGGAGGGGAGGGAACCGGGAGGATAGAAGGGGAAGTCCCTGTGCCCATAGAACCGCATCATAAAAATAAATCTTAAAAATTAAAACATTTTTAAAAAATAAAAGATCAAAGTGATTGGAAATTTTTTTTAAAAAAATAGACAACAAACAAGATTGTGGTCCTTGAGAGACGAGAAAGCAAGAACTCAAATTTACCGTCCACTGATGCAGGTAGAGGCGCTCAGAGAACACAACTCTTGCAGAACTCAGCAGCATGAACCTGGTACAGACAACCGGCCCAACCAGCTTAAGCCCCGCAACTGAGTATTGGGCTCCTGCCTCCACCTCCTGCCAATGCAGATACTGACAGGCAGGAGCAGACTCAAGTACTTGGGTTCCGCCACCCACTCACCAGACTGCACTGCCAGTTCCTAGCTTCAGCCCTCACCCGGCCTGGTCATTTGTAAGCCTGCGAGGAGAAACAGTGATAGAAAGTTGTCTGTATTTCTAAGTCTCTCTCTTTCTCTCTCTTTGCTTCTCAAAGTCAATTTTAAATGAAGAGGACAGACCAATGGATCAAGTTCCTATAAAGGCAGTGGAAATGTGCAGAGCAGAATAACAAGTTCAGGGCCGGGTTCATCTCGAACTGACTGCAGCCATTTGGGGCCAGAACTGTCACTGTGCCATTTATTAGAGACTCCAAGAAAGTCGAGCCTTAGATTAGAGCCATAATTTAGCCACAGAGGGAAGGCTATTCTAAATCAGCCCGAAAAAGTAAACCAATGTATACAAGACACAGCCAACTCCAGACATGCTGAGCAAGACAATATGACCAGGAGAGAAGTTTCTGGAACACAGAGATGATGGAATTACCATCCCAGCAGAGAGGTTGAAACAGATGAGGGAAAGAGCAAAGTTAAGGGAAAATGTACAGTTAAGAGATCCGAAGCACTTTCTAGAAAATACACAAAACTAAACCATGATGGTTAGGGATGGTCCTTAGCAATCCTATACATTTAACACATAATGCAACATAATACAACGCTAAAGATATGTCTATGGCAAATGTAACAAAACTTAGAGTTGATTATCATAAAAGCAACGACAGTGGTTAAATTTTGAGGCAGACAGTGCACCTGGAAGCTTTAAGAGGCTGCCCAAGTCCCATTTCCTTCTTGTGTTGTTATTCCATAATTTCTAAATCCATAAGGTAATTCCTTGGAGGACTGGTGCCAAGAACACACACTGATACAACCATCTGTGTCCAAGCCTCATATGCACAACGGTGTATCTTTTGCATACGACCAAAACGCATCTTCGTATATACTTTAAAACATCTCTAGGTTATATGTATTTACCTAAAAGAACATAAACTGTCTAACTAGCTGTGATACTGTACTGGTAGTGAAATAAAGATAAGAAAAGACTGACAGGAAAGAAGAACCTGTCCCAATCCTAACTACACAAATTGTATGTCAGCAACCCAGAACATCTTCAAGCCACAGCTGGCTGAACCCCGTGAGCAGGGCCCTGGTGATAAGGGATGCGACTGCACATCTGCTTATACCATTCTCCACATCTGCTCTAATTGTATCAAAAAGACTTTTTTAAAAGTTTCGAGTTCATTTCTTTTCTTCCATCCCAAGACCTAACATACTGGCTTAGGCTAGAAAAGCCTCTCGGCTTCTTCCCAGTTTCGCTGAATCTCTTCTCCACGCTGCACACAAGGCAAGCACTACTCAGCTCACGGAAGTCACAACACTTTCCTCCGAAAACGACTGTAAGTGCGTAAACAGAAATAAAACCAGCTGTGCTAATTATCAATATTCTTCATGTCCTAATAAAATCATTTAACTTGTACTTTGCAACACTTCATATTTGGTATTTCCATAATCCCTTGACAACATTCAAGCTGAGGACCTTTGGAACAGAGGTTAAGGCTGTGCTGGGGACATTCACATCAAAGCGCCTGGTGTGCACCCACGGCTTGGTTTCCAATTCCAGCTTCTTGCTAATATGCAACCACGAGGGAAAAGCACCTGGGCCCCTGCCATCCACGGGAGACCCAGAGGAAGTTCCAAACATCTATTCCATTTTGTTGAGTATGCGGGAACTTGCTCGTGAACATACATGCTTTCTTTTTCAGTATTTTAATTTTCAATAGTTCCACTACTGAAATTAAAGTACACTGGCAGGGGCTGGCCTTGCGGATTAAGCTACTGTATGCAGCACTGGCATTCCATATGAGTGCTGGTTCCAGGCCCAGCTGACTCACTTCTGACATGGCCTCCTCCTAATGTGCTTCAGAAGCCAATGCAAGATGACCCAAGTACTTAGGCCCCTTGCTACCAATGTGGGAAATCAGGAAAAAGTTCCTGGCTCCTGGCTTCCAAAGGCCAGACCCACATGTTGCAGGCTTTGGAGAACAACCCTGTGCTTTTCTCTCTCACACACAAATAAGTAAAGCTTTTAAAAATATATATTCAGGGCCTGGCACAGTAGCCTAGCAACTAAAGTCTTCG